GGGGCGGGAGATAGTTTTAGTCCCTCTTCTAGGGTCGCCGGAAGCGTGAGTCTTTCCACACTACCTGGGCTATCTTCCCAGGTGTCCGTAATAGGATTTCTGTCTTCCTCAAACAAAAAAAAAAAGGTCCGATAAGCTGTGCTTTGAATTGGAACGCGCCGATTCGGGACCGGCGTCCAAGTGGGCATCACTTGACAGGACGACTATTTTTACAACACTAGATCTTGAAAAAGCCTACCATCAGATACAGGTAGCGCCAAAAGATCGCGGAAAAAAACTGCTGTCATTACACCATTTGACCTTTTCGAATACAATGTCATGACTTTTAGTCTTAAAAGCGCTGCTCAAATTTTCCAGAGATTCATGGACATCGTACTCCGAGGTTTAGATTTTTTTTTCTGTTGCATAGATGATGTGCTGATAGCTTCGGCCAATGAATTGGAGCACAAAGAACATTTGAAACAGGTATTCAATAGGTTGAAGCAATATGGCATTTCTATCAATTTAAGCAAATGCGTCTTTGGAACTCCATCGGTACGGTACTTGGGGTACCGGAGTAATTCTAGGGGAGCCAGTCCGATACCAGAAAAAGTGGAGAACATAATAAATTATCTTAAACCTTGGAAAGTTAAATTTTTACATGCGCTTTATGAAAAATACTGTTAGGAAACAGACCCCTCTACATAAATATTTAGAGGGTGCGAAGAAAAACGACGAATAACCTATCGAATGGACCTCGGAAGCAGAAATGGCTTTCGAAGAATGCAAAAACTGATTGGCGAACGCAATGTTGTTGGCACACCCGAAAGGTAACACACCTTTACTGTTACAGACGGACACTTCTGAGTCGGCTAGTGGAGCAGTACTCCAACAAAAGCTGACTGGAATATGGGAACCTCTCGGAAAAAATTTACTCCACAGGAACAGCGATACAGTACTTATGACAGAGAACTTACTGCTATTTTTAAAGCTATCAAACATTTTATACGTTACATTGAAGAACGCCACTTTACAATACAGACGGACCACAAACCTCTGACTTACGCGTTCCAACAAAAATCCGATAAAGCTTCACCGAGACAATTACAACTTGACTACATTGGACAGTTTACAACAGATATAACCCATATTCCAGGATCTGCTAATGAGGTGGTTGATGCCTTGTCACGGCTGGACGTGATTAGTCTGCCAGTCGTGGTAAGCACACAGCAGCTAGCCGAACATCAGAAAACAGATACAGAATTAACACAGCTATTACAGGGTAATACATCGTTAGAACTGAAAAAATTAAGACTGGACGATACAGTCGAGACTGTGTACTGTGACATTTCAGGTAATAATATAAGACCTTATGCGCCAGCAGCGTTGCGGAAGCAGATTTTTAAGAACGCACACGTTTCACATCCGAAGGGCAGGGCAACAAAAAAACTCATAAGTAATAGGTTTGTTTGGCCAAACATGAGCAAAGATATTTTGAATTGGGCCAGGACCTGCCTTCCCTACCAACGGAGCAAAATCTCAAGACCTACCAGAAATATTCCCCAACGTATGGTTGTTAGAGTTTCGCATAGATGAGGTTTACGACATGACGAGGGAAAGCGGTCACTTTTGAACCCTATAATTTAGTATCCGTACCATCTGCGTGCCAGCAGTACGATGGTACGTGACAATTTGCAGTTTTTAGCAGATTTATTTATTGCTGTACTAGTCTTTAGAGTTTTTGGCTTCAGTGCAACAGGCCATGTCATAAACCTCGCAACTTAGAAGGTCAGAGGGCGATCTGACCCTTAAAGTAACGGTTCCCGCAGACCAGGACCGACGTCACGGAATTTGGGTTTTTCCCAAATTCTCCCCAGAACGCCGTCCTCCCCCGTAGGAATTTCTGTTCCCCTTCCAGAGAAGTACCATGCTAAGGCCGCAATGGAAGGGAGAACAGAGGTGTGAACGAAAGCAGAAAATACCAAAAACGTTAGATACCAACAGAACAGATAGCTCAGTACAGATCAGAAAACAGTGTAGTTAGAAACAGAAATAACATAGAACAGAATTAGTACTTAGAACACTTAGTACTTAGAATATACACATTAAGTCACACACAACCACACATCTTATACACACACACACACACTCACATATATATTATTAAAACCATCGTTAATATAAATACAGTGAGTGTTCTTTCGCGGCCCCAATCCGCAAAACATTGGGTGATCCTTCGATCCTATATCAGATTTTAGGCGGCACTTCGTGCAATACAAGGGCTTGACCAAACCCTATCAATGGTTGTTCCAGGGGAACGTTTTAAGCACGTTCACATAGACATTGTAGGTCCTTTACTGCCAATAGATGGTTATAGATATTGCCTAACCATAATCGACAGGTCCTCGAGGTGGCCTGAGGCGGTTCCCATTAAGAACATGGCAGCGAGTACTGTTGCGAAAGCGTTTTGTGATGCATGGATCAACAAATTTGGAGCTCCAGCTACAGTTGCAACAGACAAAGGATCCCAGTTTGAAGAAACAGTTTTCAGGGAGCTTACAAATTTAATAGGCTGTAAGCATATTCATACAAAACGGCATACCACCCAGCCTCAAATAGCATGGTGGAAAGATGGCACCGTTCTCTGAAAACTGCAATTATGTGCCAAGAGAAGAATAAGTGGGTCGAGATCCTCCCTACTGTATTGCTTGGATTAAGGAGCAGCTTTAAAGAGGATATTGGAGCTACAGCAGCAGAATTATTGTATGGATTTCCCCTCAGGTTGCCGGGAGAATTTTTCATAGACATTCAAGCTACAGACAGTTTTTATTTAGACAAATTTAGAGAACAAATGCGACAGATTCGACCAAGATAGATGGCATATCGCAGCAGACAGTAACATTTCGTACCAAAAACTTTGCACAACTGTACACACATTTTTGTTAGAATAGATGCGGTAAAGAGACCACTGGAACAGCTGTACGAAGGGCCATTTAAAGTATTACAGAGCATAACGGACATTACGTATTTAGTAGAGTATAAGGGTAGTGCAACCGTTTTTTCAACGGAACGCCTAAAACCGGCATTTGTTGAAGTAGACGAAATAGACAGAACATCAAAAACATATAGTAGGTTAGAGTTGTCTGCTTTCCCTGACGGGTCAAGCGACTATAGTGGGGTAGTGCGGCGACACCTACTTCCGGTTCGGCAACATGGCGGAAAGTGCATTTCCGCGCGTAGGCGAGTTTCATTCTCTGGTGAAACGTGTAGGCATAAAGACGTACAAATTAGGAAATTCAGTAAAGTTTAACTTCGCAATAATAGTGCGCGATCATGCTTTATACAAACTTTTGAATTCGCACTATATCTGTGATTGTTATTATTATTAAATATATAGAAAAACCTTTATTATAAATTCAAACACAGCGGAAAGTTCCTTCATCGCTTTTAACTTCGATAAAGTAGAGTTTTATAAATCACGGAGAAGAACTCTACACATTTGTAGGTTCGTTGCGTGGGGAATTAACTGAACACTGACTTTAACAAGATATATATATTTATAATGATATAACAGAGATCTTTTTCTTTGGCTATCTTACAAGAAACTGACTAACTAACGTGGCGCTGGTGTAGCGCACCATAGACTATGAGTAATCCGAGAACCGTACTCGCTTCTTGCGGGTTGAATGTGATGTCGCCACACTACCCCCTTCCAAATATTCCACATTCCTTGGATTAGGCCTTGAATAGGTACGTAATGGAATGTTTTGAGGTGCTTGTTCTTCAGTAGAGTTTGTTGTGAAGTTGGTTTTTTAATAAGTGCGTGAGTTGGCATGAGTGAGTAAGTTGGTAGGAGTGTGTAGGTTGGTATGAGTGAGGAGTTTGGGATGCGTGAGGAGATTGGTAAGACTGAAAGGAAAAAGATGGGTGATGACGGAAAAAGGAGAGTGGAGTGAGAGCGTCGGAATAATGGAAAAAAGGTTTTATGTATTTTTACAAAGAATTAAAATAGTTTAGTTCAAAGAAAGATAAACGTTAATTTCAAGATCACCAATTCCCACATTTGTCTCCATGAATGCTGGTTTCAATCTTTCTGTAGAAATGTTGACAGGATTATTTTTAACATTTACCATAAATACGTTTGTGATCTGTTTTTATACACAATTCTTATCCTTCTATCTGATTTTTAAAAAATTGAACGCTTCTGTATATGGCTGTGAGTTCTCTGTCGTATGTGCTATAGTTTTTTTCACTTTCTGAGAATTCTTTTGAGAAAAATCCGAGTGGTTGCCACTCTGTTCCATTCCACTGTTCCAGTGCAGTTCCTATGGCGTTGTCGGACGCGTCGGTCTTGAGTGCCAGCGGAGCACCTTCTATGGGGTAAACTAGCAATGTTGCTTCTGCAACTTGTTTTTTACTTGAATCGAAAGCTCTTTCAGCTTCGTCAGTCCATTTAATCAGACGTTTGTCCCTTTTTTCCCTTTTGAACGGTGTCTGTACTTTTGCTGCATCTTTAATAAAATGTCTATAAAAGTTGATAAGTCCTAGAAATCGTCTCAAATCTTCTATGGTCTTTGGTTTCGAGAACTGCTGTATAGCTTCTATGCGTTCTGTTAACGGTTTGATTCCCTTACTGCTGATATGATATCCGAGGTATTCAATCTCTTTTTTCCCAAAAATGCATTTTGCGACATTGATTTTATATCCGTATTTAAGGAGTCTGTCAAATACCTGTTTTAAATGATCCTCGTGTTTCTTTTCGTCCCTTGACGCTATGAAGGTATCCCCTAAATCCAACCCTTTCAGCATCGTATCCATAAATCTCTAGAACGTCTGCGCTGCATTGCACAAACCAAATGTCGTGACATCAAATTCAAAGAGGGCAAACGGTGTAATTACAGCAGTCTTTTTTCAGCCCTGCGGCGCTATGAGTATCTAATGGTACGCTCGTTTCAGATCTAATTTTGAAAATATTGTGCAACGCTGTAATTTGTATGTAAAATCGTGAATATGAAATATTGAGTATTTATTTGGAACTGTAACTTTGTTGAGACGTCGATAATAATCGCCACATGGGCGCCATTCTCCGGATTTTTTCTTTACCAGATGCTGTGGGCTTGCCCATGGACTGTTAGACGGGCGGCATATCCCCTGTTGCATCATGTGTTCAAATTTTTTCTTTGCCGCTTTTAATTTATCAGGAGGTAATCTCCTGGGCGGCTCTGATACCGGTGGTCCTTTTACCTCGATGTGATACTGAATATCATGTGGGCATCCTTGAGAACTGCGTGGTTTTGTTATGTCCACATACTTACGCAATAGTTCCTGATAAGGGTTGTCTGCATTTATTGTGGATATTGCTGAAGCAGATTTTTTTGCGACAATGGCATTTGCCTGTAGATTCGTCGCGTGGTCCAACAATCGCCTATTTCTAATATCCACTAGCAAGGAATAATGCTTTGGAAAATCAGCCCCTAAAATTGGGTTTTTTACCTGCGTCACAATGAATTCCCATTTAAAAGGGCGCCTCAGTCCTAGATCTAATATTAGTATTTTTGTCCGATATGTGTTTATCTCTGTACCATTGGCCGCAAATAATCTAAAATCGGATGCTTTATGGTTATTTGAAAAGGTTTTGGGCAGAACTGAAATGTCTGCTCCTGTATCAATCAGGAATCACAAAGCACTTTTCTTGTGCGTGACTAACAAGCGGCTCTTACACTCTTCTTCAGTCACTGCGGCCGCTATGCAAGTTGAGGAGTTTAGTTTTCCGATTGTTTGTTGAGCTCGCCTTTCCATAAACATGGCGGTTGATATTTCCATGATCTGGTTCCAAATCTTTCATGATAGTAACATAAGTTGCGTGATCTTTCCCTAGACCTTGATCCATACCTGTCTCTAAACCTCTGTTGAAAATAAGCTCGCTGCATTCCTTGATTTTTAGCTATCGCCTTTACCATAGCATGTGTTGACTTCTGCGTTTGCAATGATAATTCGGCCGTTTGTTTTACCAAAGACACAATTGCATCGACTACGATTTTTTTTTTTTTTTTTGGACTGAAATCACCGCCAAGTTGGGGTTCCTCAGCCCGGGGGTGGAGCAATCGCCTCTCGGCATCTCTTCCACCCTCAGTGTTGGGCGGCAGGGGGAAATAGGTTAAGTCAAGTTAGACCCCTCTACTTTTCTCAATCCGGCTTGGGACGGGCTATGGCAGTTGCCCCCAGGAAGGGTACGCACACCTGTGGGAGTGCAGGTGTCCTCACCTTCCTGGGGGAGTTAGGTATGGTTAGAGACATCCTTTCCCTGTGTCTATGTATCCTAAGTTTCACAGGAAAACTCACTGGTCATTAACTAAAAGAAACACTCTTCCCAAAATCATACGTCATTCACACAACAGACCATTCCCACGCGCTTACATCCACATAAAACGCACACTAGATAGGACCCCAAGAGGGGTTTGTCAAAATAAATTTCTACTTAGAAACTCACAATATTTTAATTCTGCTCTAAGTCCATAGGGTAAAAAAAAGGCGTTCTCTTACGTACACATAGACATTAGATACGAGGACCTTCCAAAGAATGCCCCATCCAAAACATCACTAACCACCCCAATGCTGGGGTGCGCTGTCATGCCAAAATTCTCGTCCTCCTACTGCAAGATGAGTAAGTCTGGGAAAGAGAATAATAAAAGAGTTGAATATACATTGAACCTCTCAAAGGTGAGTATCGATTCCTACTAAATTAATATGGTATTTACAGAGATACTGCAAATAATCTAATATATTATAGGCCGGCGAACAGGTAAGGAGTAGGTAAGTATATAAAAAATAAAATATAGATAGATAAATAAATTAAATAAATAAATAAATAAACAAACAGACAACGATATGAAATAAATAAACTAGAAGTACTGCTCACAGTGGAGTCTGAGCAAGGCGAAGCATAATTGACGCTGACCGAATAAATGTTTTTGCAAACTTACTCCCGGTTTATCAAGAAAATATTCATTTCTGCAAGACGTGATATGTCCTGGCGAAAATTTATCACATTTCCAGTGTACGCATATTGAGCTCCTCTGATTTTGTATAGCGAGACGACAGGGTGTATTCGGGCGATGAGCATTTGCTCAATGTATGTTAGCCCTACGAGTTCCTAAGGTACTTCTCCTGGATCCATAAAATTCGCTGATGTAAATCTTGATTGTTTATTTGGATCCGAACAAATTGTACAAAAGTCGAATCCAGCCTTTATTATATCGGGATAGCAGCGTTTGCAATATTCGCAGGTCATTAACCTTACACTTGACATTTCTTCATCAAACTTATGGGCTACTTCAACCATACTTTCATTATACCCTGTAATGTTTCGAAGATTAAGAGAATAAAATATAGACTCTTCCTGTCTTAAGTCTAACTCCTTTAATTTTTATCCGATTTTGCTCAATATTGAATTTGAAGTTGTTTTTATTTAGATCTTGAAATGTGTGAAGTTTTAAGGCTCTATCTATGATGGTTCTCGAGAAAAGTGCATTACATGAGTCGAAGTATAGTCGACAAATATATAAATAAAATAAGAACAAAAGACAGAAACAGCACAAAAACGAAAATAAATAATAAATAAATTAAACAAAAAACAAAATTTAAAGGG